CATTTGTAGATAAAACTAGTTAGAACTGAGCAGGGAAGTACATAGTGACAAGAAGTATATCATTTTTCTATAAAGTTCCTAAAGAACCATTTTCACTATTTTCCTCTCTCAGAAATGGAATGGTATTACTACAAAAAATAATGTGTTTGCAGAAACTTGTTCTCCTTTGTACCTGTCTTTCTTTCTTTCTTTTTTTTTTTTTTTTTTTTTTTTTTTTGCGGGTTCAATCCCTAGTACCACAATCTAAGCACTCTACCACTGAGCTACATCCCCAGCCCTGAAACTTATTTTCCTTAACAGAGTTTCCCAGTCATAAAGGAAGATTTGCCATCTTTTTACAAGTTCAGATTTTTTTTAATTAACCCAGTTTGGTTAGCCAAGTCATAGGAATGGCAACTTTATCATTCAGTAGAATGGCATGGTTCATCCTAATCTGAGCTTCTAACTTTAGAATGAACTCTAAAACATCTTTGCTTCCCTTAATAATAATATGCACCTATCATTGAATTATCTACCCTCTTTAAAAAAAATACATCTGTTTTTCATCTATACCAATACTTGAAGTAATAAACTCCATAAATTCATTGCCAGGTATATAAAAGGTATACACACACACTCTCTCTCTCCATTTCCGTGTACTTGAAGACTTCCTTTACCTTCCAGAAGAATGAAGACTTAGGAAACATAATATTTATGATTTAATTTGCTATTTCCCCCTTCAAATTTAGTAATTCATGATGAGGAATCTTTGGCATGTGAATACAACTGCAAAAAAAGTAAAAATAAGTATAGGCTACATTAAAAATAAAAAGTTTGCCAAGTGTGGTGGCTCACACTTGTAATTTCACTGACTTGGGAGGCTGAGACAGAAGGATTCCAAATTTGAGGACGGCCTCAGCAATTTAGCAAGGTTCTAAGCAACTTAGCAAGACTCTGTCACAAAATAAAAATGAAAAAGTCTGGGGATGTGGCTCCATGGTTAAAATGCCCCTGGATTCCAGTGCCAAAAAAAAAAAAGTTAATTAAGGAAGACATTCGAGGCCAGCCTCAGCAACTTAGCTAGACCCTCAGCAACTTAGCAAGGTCCTATTTCAAATTAAAAAATTAAAAAGTGCTGAGAATATAGCTCATGGAAAAGCACTCTTGCTCCTGGTTTAAAAAAAAACTCATTAAGTCCCATGAGGATAAAATTATATTCTTACAATCTAGAAACTCTTCATGACCAGAAGAATATCAATGGAGGGAAAAAGAAGGTCACTGTGTTTCAGTCATTAAAATGATAAATAGTTGAGTAGTTATGTTTAAGAAAGAACAACAGAAAGATAGCTTTCCAATCTTTCCTCATGAAAGGATATTGTAGGCTCCACTGTGAAACAGGCCCAAAGCCTCTCATCACTGTTCTAGCCTTTTTGCTTTAAAGACTAATAGTTGATCTCATACAATTACCTCATTCTCTTGCTCATATTCATCTCTCTAAACACATACAATTGTGTATTTGAGAATTCCAAGTGAAAACTGTCTACCACACTGTGAAAAGGCTGTAAACAAAAGAGCCAGAAATGAGAAATTAAAAGAGCCAAGAATCTTGTCAAATTGCATTGGCATTTCTCTGAATGGGAACAAAACTTCTTTTTGTCCCTTCAGCAAAGTTAGTGCCATGCTCATGACAAGAGAGACTGCTTCTCAGCAGGAGAAAGGCTCCCTGAACTCAATGAGATCACATTTATTTAAGCTGTTTCTTCTCCTTGTCAAGATAGGGACACAATCTGAAGGTCCCAAGCTTCCAGGACGATGGTCAATCCACGAATCCCTGGAAACCATAGGAAACATTGAATGGGAATGTTCATTGGCATCTTTTTAGGTAGGGATAAATGCTTTCATGAGATTATAAAAAGTGAACTTGGTCCAAAAAAGATTAAGAACTACTCCTTTAAGGGACTGGGGTTGTGGCTCACCTAGCACGTGCGAGGCCCTGGGTTTAATCCTCAGCACTACATAAAAATAATAAAAATAATAAAGATATTGTTGTGTCCAACTAAAAAATAAATAAATATTTTTAAAAAAGAATCACTCCTTTTTAGATGTGTATTCTTCAGGGTGACTACTTTGAAATCAAGTATAATGGAGCCCCTTTGTATGTGAATGATCTTAAGAGGTTTCACAACACTCTCAATGCAAAATTAATTTTCATGTACATTAGTGTCTTGGAACACTTCTACTTTCTAAAAGCCCATAGCATAAAATTCCATAAAAATGAGGAACTTTTTGAACTTCAGTAATTACGTGGAAGAATTCCAAATAAATCTATATCATACTGATTTGTCTCAACAATAAATTATACATTTATTTGAGTTATGAGGGGGAAAGTTCCAAAAGTCAAGACTTACTGAGGGAAAAAGGTAGTTAAAAGAATTAAAAACCAAAAACTAGTCCGGAAATACAAAATCATAAAGAACCCAGAAATAGCTGGGCATGGTGACACACGCACAACAGTAATCCTAGGGATTTGGGAGGCTCTGGCAGGAGGATTGCAAGCGTGAGACCAGCCTCAACTTAGCAAGGCCCTAAGCAGTTCAGCAAGATCCTGTCTCAAAATGAAAAATAAAATGGGGGACTAGGGTTGTGGATTAGTAGTAGAGTGCTTGCCTAGCATGTGTGAGGCACTGGGTTTGATCCTCAGCACTACATAAAAGTAAGTAAATAAAATAGTTATTGTGTCCATTTATAACTAAAAATTTAAAAATTTTTAAAAATAAATAAATAAACAAATAGGGCTGGGGATGTAGCTCAGTGGTAAAGCACTCCTGGGTTCAATTCCTAGAACCCACTCTGCCAAAAAGAAAAAAAGAGCCCAGAAATTACCAGCTTAAAGGATGATCTATTTGATTTCTAAAATGATGTGAAATAATTTCAATGTTTTCACTCTTTATATTTCTTTCTACCCATCTTTCTTAATATATACCTAAACAAGCCAGACTTCAACAATGCCCCTTATTTTTCAAAAATCTATGGCTACAAACTAAAAATCCAATTTCTATTTCTATTTCAATTATAGAATAAGTTACAACTTTATTAGGTATACACTTGCATATATTAAAAGTTTAGAAAAAGGAAAGTTCACCTCAATTTCAGAAAAACTAATATAATGAAATACCTGTTTTACCTATTAGCCAAAGATAACTCAGTAAAACTGGCATAGACTTGCTTTCTGTGTGAATTACTTACTACAAGTCTGTTAAGAGCAGAAAAACTTTACCTAGCTCGGAGGTCAGCCACTTGATCAGTCATCTGCCCTAGCATTTTGCAGGTTCCCAGGATCTCCCTGCGTTCCTTGCCTGCACAAAGTTCACCAACTTTTCCAGCTTCATCTAAGATCTGCCTGATGGCCTGTTCACCAGCATCCCCTAAAATAAAAAGATAGTTAATACCTGCATTGTAGACCCATTAAACATTTAGAGAGGATACTTTACACATCATTTCATTCCTGAAGGAATAGATGATTTTAAATGACAAGTGAACAGAAGACAATCCATCTGATAGCTAATAGCCAAGTGATGCCCTCACAGCTGAGGTTTCAACCACAGATACTGCTAAAATAGATACTTGGAACCATATCCATTTGGAGATACTAAGCAGCTTGTGGTAATAATGTGGATGATGAAAATAGGCCGTCCTAATTTAATAGTACTTAGCACCTCCAAACTCCATTAAGCTTTTCGCTCATTCAAATGTTAATCTAAAACTGAATAAATATTAAATTAGAGAGTACTCAAAGCCAAACTCAATACATATTTGGATCTTATCTTTATATAGTCAACTTCACTTTCCAATTTTTATTGACATTATTATTTAATCTACTTAATTAAGTACTCTGTTGACATAAATGGAAGTTTACCCAATGGAATTAGCAGAGAAGAGCTTTTATTCAAAATAATTACCTTTCCAATTTGGGGAATGGGTGAAAAAATAATTTTGCAAAGAATGCCCAGTTTTGCTTTGTTTATTCCTCCACAGTAAGAGGTGATATGGCTTATGCCCTTCATTCTTTTAAGGTCCAATAACACTTCCACTCGTTAAAACTATCAGAAGATGAGCTATGTTCCAAATGTTATAGTAGTAATCTCAGGATTGCAAAATTCTGAAGGATTTATTCTATTCTTTTATTTGCTTCAATTTTAGATTTTTATTCTATGTATCAGAAAAGCAAAACTAAAGGGTTACCTGGGGAGGCACTGGGGTCACGGAGCCAACCTTTGGCCTGATTCAGTTTGGAGTCTATGGAGGCCAATGCTCTCTTCATGGCTTCAGTGTCCTTTTGAAGAGAAATCCCACAATTATTTTCTTTGCAATCACTGAGGTACCATAAAACAAAGGAGTAGTTACAGAACTAACATACAAAAGCTAAGGTAGTCCTACAATGGTCTTAATAATCTCATCACAACACAATTCTTATTGCTATCAAAATGCAGCATCTTGCATGCAAATCTTCAGTTAATTCTATTCTGTTTCCTTGTGTCTATTGCTAAAACTGTGAAAACTGGTAAAATTGCTCAAGCCAAAAGATGTTTAATGTCTTCAACAGAAAAAAGCTCTGTTGTCACATGCCTCATTATCAGCCTTTCTACTAGTCAACATTCATCTACTGCAGCCTTGCCAGAGCCCTCCCCGCTTCAGGGAAGCCTCATTAGTATGTGGTGCCACAAATCACAATTCTTTTACATCTTGTTTTGAAATATACGCCCAAACTGGATGATGTTTCACTTTAATTAATCTGAAAAACTTGGAATTACTGGTTGGAAAAAGATATTTAAAAAGTTAATGTAGCAGTTTTATTTTAATTCTCAAAAAAAAAAACATTTAAAGTTATACAAGAAAAAAAATTTTTGCAACTCTTCCTTACTACATCTCATCCTTAGTTTCTTTATAATCCCTAATCTGGAAAAAGAGGCAACATATAATAAATGGGTCTTGATTGTTTACAAGCAGGATTCATGATGATAAGCATAAAATCTCCCAGGATACAGCTGGGAGACAACATATTAATTCCTCTAAAAATGTGAGTATTCATAAAATTTGTTTGAACAGAGAAAAATGCAGAGAACAGCACAACAAATACCCATGTATACATTCTCAGAATTGATAGGCTGGCCACCTCTTCAGGATCTATTTAACATCTCAAAAGAAAGTCTATCTCATTCTTGCTCCAAGGAATTGACTCCTATGGAGTCAATCCATCAAAGCACAGAGTTAACCTCTAAAATTCTAGCCAATGTCCTATTATCCTAACTTTCCTCTATTTCCAATCCTAAAGAACTGAGGTTCTTAGTAGTGTTATACCACCAATTTTCCACAAGGGGGCACGAGGAGCATTCCCACTTTCAATGTAAAGGAGACCAGCCCTAGCACAAATAAAAAGCACTGGCTGCATTCATAATCAGGCTTAAAGTTAGCAGCCTGACCCCAGGTTTTTCAAAGTCCCTATTCAAATGATGGGGCTCCCAATGTTAAGATTCCCTCCTTCCCCATCTAAACAGATAGACTGTTCTGTTCTAACCTTATTTCTCAGCCACAGCACCAAAAAAGAGGTTAACTAAATTACTAAAAAAAGGACATAAAATATTTTTATTATCAAGTTACATGGGATTATGGTAGCTATCCATAAAATGTAGCATTGTGAGATTTGAAAATCCATTTGTAACTAGTACAAATAGACAAGTTGTATTTCTGAGTGCTTTGATTTTAAGTGGTTTAAATATCTGTTCTTCTCTTTCACCTTGTTTTATATTAATTTGTACAGCAAACCTTGCCTCCAAAAGTAATGCAACACTTAATTCCAAATTAGCAAGACCCAAAACAATATCTTCTTAAAAGAAAATCTCAGGTAACTCCTAACCTCAGGGAGACAGATAGCCTTCAGGGTTTAACACAAGTTATTAGGTATAATACACAAATTATTTAGGTACAGATTAAAACACAAACACACACGTACACAAGCTCTTACTTAGAAAGTATGTGAACACTCTGGAGAGGAGAAATTGTGTCAATGTAAAAATATTTAATTTAAAACCTGTTAATAGCATTTCCTTAACACATTTTCATTTTCAGTGAGAAAACCGATACCAAGTATTACATTTCAAAACCTAAATTCAAAAGGGAGGGAAAGCCCTCCATGTTAGATGTTGTTTTTGCCACTTTCCCCCTCAATTATTTCAATGAATCTCAAATTTAAATATAATTTGATTTTACAAATTAAGAAACAGGGAATCACTCGGGTTTGTTGGGCTTTGTCTTGTTTTGCTATAGTCCTGGGAATCAAAGCCAGAGCCTTAAGCATGCTAGGCAAGCACTCTACCACTAAGCTACAGCCCCAATCCTTGTTTTATTTTGCAACAAGGTGTCACTAAGTTGCCCGGGCCAGCCTTGAACCCACCATCCTCTTGCCTTATCCTCCCAAGCAGCAGGGATTACAGATGTATCCCACCATACCCAGCCATCTCTGGCTTGTTCACTCCAGATTTCATTCTTTTATTTCAGATAAAACTTGAGAATTTTTTTCTTTTACCAAAGAGAGTTGCCAATGATGTCATTAAGCTTCTACAACAGTCGAAAATCTCTTTTTTCAACTTTGGCTTTTATTGATACTGACCAGAAAATAAAATGTAGACATCAAATTCATAATCTTCACTAACATAAATAGCTGCTTTTATCCTCCAATGCTCCAAAATGATTTGAAACACAATGGAAAAATAAGCTTTGCTCTATTCAGCATCCTCAAAAATCATTTCTTTTTTCTCCCCAATAAAGCTCAAAAGGCTTCTATATACTACCAAAAAAAAAAAAAAGAATATGATTCTCAGGTATTGAGTAATTTACTCCTGAATAGTAGATCTGACACCACCAAGAAGTTAAAATTAAGAGATACTCTTTTTCCCTAAATAAAAACAAGGGAAATTTTGAAATTAAGCCACATTTTACAACTGGGAATTTCAACTAGTTAGCACGTTTTTCTTTGCTCTTGTTTTTGTTTTCCTTCTGTGCTGGGGATTAAACATCCCAAGCCTTTTTTTATTTTTTACTTTTGAGACAGGGTCTCAGTAAATTGATGAGAGTCTTGATAAATTGCCCTTGAATTTACAATCTTCTTGCCTCAATCTCCTCAGTAGCCTCTGCACCTGACAGTTACCAGTTTTTAATAATGAAGTTTAGACCATTTTGGAGGTTTAAAACTTATCATTGAAAAGGCCACATTAAATTCTTTCTGGAAGGTTATAAACAATAATTTAAACACAATGCAGTGCAATGTCGCATCTATTAAAAACAAGAGTGTTTATGGGAACAAATATTTTGGTCTCCTAAGAATCTCATATTTTTTTTGCAGGACAGATGAAACTGATAAAATTCTGTCATAAGAAATATAAGTATACTAACTTTAGGATATAATATAAATAAATTCACCAAACACTAAGCATTAGAACTCAATTTGAAGATATATTTATAAAAGATAAAAATAATTATAATCTTGTGGTCAACCATAATATGTGCCCCGTGCACTTTGTTAAACTCTGTCACATAAGTCTAAGTACCCAGAGTACAATCTGAGTATGAAATAGAAGGAAAAAAATACAACAATCTTTTGAGAATTCTTCTCTATAAAAATTCAAATTTAGGAAAAAAGTCTCCACCAATCTTCTATCTGCTTTTTATTTGTTTGTTTTGTTTGTTGTTTTTTCAAAGAGTGAGAGTAAAAAAAGACCAGATCTAGTCATGCAGCTTTGGGACAGCTGGCAGGTAGTATTCTGCTCTCCTCTATAACCCCTTTTATTATAAAAATCTTATCAGATCAAGTTTTAAATGAAAAAATGCAGCCTTAGCACTGTCCCCCACAAACCAAAAGATGGAAGGTCATCCTAAGAGAATACTGATTTACATGATTTTCCAGGAACTGAAACACTCCTAAAATTCAATATATGTTTAGGCCTCAAAAATACCTGTGAATAATACTGAGATCCTCTATACAGGATCAAGAAGAGCTATCATTAGGAAAGTCATGTCCTGCAATCCCAAGAATTTAAAATTGGAAATTTTAAATATGGGGAATAAGGACCTCTCTATATCACTCCCCAAGCTGCTTTTCCCTTCTTCCACTAACACCTCCCTTCCCACCACATTCCATTTCTGATAACATTTTCACTATCATAACTTATCTAGTCCTGAGACTTCAGACAAGTTATCTTCTCTGGACCTCGGTTTCTCATTTCTCATCTCTACGAATACCTTCCCAGCTCTAAAGATCTAGGCCACCTATGAGCACACAACCAGATGAATCAGCTAGCTGAAGATAACAGATCAGAAAGGAAACATAAACTCCTTTGACATTTTGGGGGATTTTCTCCTTATTGGGGGAGGGGAAAGAATAACACATCATAAATACCTGAATTAACTATTTATCCTGAACAGAAAAATCTTTCATTCTATTAGCTGCTAAAACAAAACACTAAAACACTCTTTAAAAGTTCATATACAACCTCTTTTTAAAAATAATCAAATAGGGGCAGGGGCTGTAACTCAGTGGTACAGCATTTGCCTAGCATGTGTGAGGCACTGCGTTCAATCCTCAGTACCACATAAAAATAAATAAAATAAAGGCATTTAAAAAAATTGTATCTGTTTAAAGAAAAGGAAAAATAAAATAAAATCCTTAAATCTCAACGGTTTGCAGTAAGGGATAGTATTACAGGATGGCATGTTCTAACCAATATTTCCTTCTTTGGTAAAGTATATGCAGGACCTCTGAGTCAGTCACTACTTTTACTCATCACCATTTTAGGACCACAGTGAGAGGAAACTCTCCACAACTCATTTTGAATAACCATATTTAATGACTCAAGTTATCTTAGCAGTGAAATGCTTTTCAAATTTTTGTCTCATTTTTTCTTAATTTCCAACATGCAACAAAATACAAGTACTATTAATACAAAAAAAAATAATATTGAGTATTAAATTTATAAAGAGTAGTATTAGAATTATGTTTAACTTAAATTTTTTTGGCTCATAATGTATTCCTAAGAAAAAATATTAACTTGACTTTCAATGATCACTATGATTGTTGATTTAAGAAAGGGACACTTTTTATTTTTAAAAGAAATAGTGTTTAAAGTCAAAGATCCTTTTAAATTTGTAAATTTGCAATTTGAATATAGGTATAAAATGTCAAACAGCCATTGCATTGCCTCTTCAAAACCTGAACTTAATTGGCAAGACACACTTTTTATCAAGAATTCATTCCACTTACTTTCTTCCCCCATTTTTCTAGAGGAACCATCACTTTCCAGAAGAATACTGCACCAATGGGGAAGCATGAAACAAGTATGGTAAGACAAAGTTAATTATATATTAGTAGGGCCAAGAGGAGGTGAAAGACACTGTATGCATTGAACAGAATGGGAACTCAGTGATAACAGACACAAGGTCTGATTAATTCACTGCTTACAGTTGAGCAATGAAAGATGCATAACCCTAATAAACAGAAAAACAGCCCAAATCCTAGTTACCAATGTCAGTTTTAAGGTAATTTTTTTTGCTAAATATTCTTGTAACTAATAAAAATTATTTTTTAGGGAGTGAGCAGAAGTAAGAGTGGATGGGGACAGGATTGGGAGGAAGAGTTGTCTTGTATTTCTTTTTACAGTATTTTTATTTTTTTGAACCAGTTAAATGTATAACAAAAGTAAACAGGTTTAAAAATTTCTTGTTCATTCTGATGTCATGTATTTGAGCTTCTTTTTGCTTGAACTCACTGATTTTACTTTCTTTCACTCCTGATAAAGTTAGTTTTGCAGCATCCTAGCCAACTTACTTTCTCCTAGATGAACATAAAACTGGGACAGCTTTAAGACCACACATGGTGAGGAACAGGTCTATTCCTTATATATCCTCCCAAGTCCTGAAAAACTCAATGGAATTTGTTTTATTTTGTTAAAGATGTAGCACTGGATCACAGTACAAAATAAAGCTGAGCACTTATTCACTTACTCACATTTAGCACTTATTCACTAAATGATGAATGACTTTCCTCTCAAAAATAGAGAAACATTAAAATTAAATGCCTGTTCCTCCTTACTACTTTCTCATCCACTAAAAGCAAAGGAAAGAGATTAGGGGAACATGAATTCAGAAAATTATGGCTGATTCACAGCTTAGACAGTTCACATAGTAAGCCATGGACTGAAGTTAGGAAAACCACTAGGTAAACATAGTTTGCTTCTTTTGTCCTTTGGATTTTGACAAATCAAAGGATTATTATGCAGGACAGGTGCCTCATCTAAGCTATCTATCCTACTCATTTTCATTTTGACTTAAAAGTTCCAATTACACAATTCCAAAAGCAAAATTTCAAGAAGACTGGTGGGAGATGGCATCAGCTGGAAGTATCCTTTCCTTAGAGCAGGGTCTACATACATAACTCAAAGGTTACCCAGCTACCTGGGGAAAACTGCTTCACATGAAGTCAGTGGGAATGACCAGGCAAAATAAGTCCTAAGGATGCTACTGAAAACAGATTTAAAAAAGCACCTACCAAATACAGAAATCCTGATGGCCCATAGTAATGTGTTTCCTTTTGTTTCTCCCCAAAGAAATAGCTCAATATGAGCAGAGTCAAACAGTATGTGCAGCACAGCCAGAGTCCCATATTAAATCACATTCTAACGCATAGTCAAGCACAGTGTTACACACCGGCATACAGAATAAGGCACAGCACACAGCACAAGAAAACCCCACAGACATGCTTTTTCTGTTTTTAAGCAAAAAAGAAACTAAAGGGCAAGAGAAAGCTTACCTTCTAAACGTGAGAAAAAGAATAAAACAAACAAGAGAACAACAACAAAAAAGATGCATAAAGAAGTCACAACAGGGAAGTAAAAGTCAAGTATGCAAAAAGCAAAATTAAATCAATATCAAAGATTTAAAATGATTTTACCATGTAAATTTAAAATATAATCTTAGAACCAGTTGAAGAACTGCATATCAATGAGAAAATGCCTGTTAAATAAATCCATAGTTGAAGTAAACTAAAGTAATATCCATTGTTAAATTACCTTTCTAGGTAAAAGAGAAAGGGCTGGTGGTTTTTAGGTCCCTGCTTTGACCCTACCTTTTATGTGTCCTGGAGGAAAAACATATATATCTCTACTAAACAACCAACAAAAGTCAAACTATAAAATCCCCTCTTTAGTCAGCTACCAGCCTGCTAGGTGACCCTGGAGACATTTGGGTCTAGATCCTAGAGAAAGCAGTATATTCCCCAAACTGCCTGCATCTTGGGCTCCTAAGTATAAACACAAATGTCTCTGCTCTTCCAGATGTGGAAGCTTTGTTCATAGTCACTACATAGGAAAAAGTGGACCAGAGTGGCAGTAACACAAAACCACTGCTGACAGACTCTAAAAGGAATCCACCAATCCCGTTAAGCGCAAGAAGAGATTCTAGACAGGGTGAAAGGGACTTCACAAACTAACTGACAAATGTAAAGACAAATATTTTAAATTAAATTTCCTTAGAGAAAAGGGAATAATGAAGAGACACATGTACAAATGCTAAGATGTTCCTCTGTATATTCCTCTGAATCAAAGGTTGGGTAAAGGAAATTTTTCCATAAAGTTTAAAATTATAGGCATATTCTGTGTCTTTCTTAGTCACCTGGCTACAATCACCCACATACAAGGAAGAGATACCACCCAGGGGACTAACATTCCTCATCAGCCAACCTGAAAGAAAGGCTACCCACCTCAGCCTTCAACCAATATTCATTCCACATGACTGTTTATTTATTCTACCTTGGAACAAAGAAATTTGCAAAGGTAGCAAGTAACCCATGAAACAAAAGTAAAGAAGAAATTACATTCACAATACCTAAGTACTCTTATGCTATACACAATTACAAGATAAAATCTGCAACAGGTAACAATCAAAATCACCTAGGAAGGGAGAATTCAGGATTTTGCTTATTTCTCCTCCAATAACACTTACTTTGCTGGCCCAGGCATCTTCATCCCAAGAAGTGAGTTGTAATACACGGATGATCTCATTAATTTCAGCACTCATCTTTTCCACAGTAAAATTGCGATTTTTCAAAGCTTCTTCTATTCCTTGGTTTTTTGAATTTTTAGTTGTTACAAAAATCTTCATAGCTATAAAAATAAACAAAAAATCAGCAATTAAATCTTGTTGTGTGACAATATTCATACAAGATGTTCTACACTTTGAACACATATTTTGAATTTCTAAAGTCTTAGAAATATACAAAAACAAACACTACAAATCTGCCAATAAAGTTCCAATATTACAACTTTCATTGCAAAGAAATCTAAAGGTACAAAACATCACCACTACATGATTAGGGAACTAATTAACATGCATATATTAATGAGTTATAATCATAAAATATCTAATATTCTTAATATCCTTCTAAATAAGCTATTATCCTGCACCCTAAAACTGGTTCCACCCACTGCAAACCTAATGGGACAAGATGAAAACCATCAATAATACTATGGAGTATCCTGCTGCCTCCAATCTCAATAGAAGACCCCAAAGAATCAATTTATCTTCCGGGACTTCTCTCACTATGGAGCAGGGTAAAATAGAAGTAAAATAGAAAAAATTCAGAATGATATTTTCCCAGAAGTAAAATAGAAAAAATTAAGAATGATAATAAGGAGCATTAGAGAAAGAATATCTTCCCATCAAATTATTAAAAATTTCATAAGCAAAGATTAATTAACACTTTAATGAGTTACCCAGATTAGAAAGAAACCATCTTCCAATGCACATAGAACACATGGCCTCAAAACATATTCCTAGAGCTAGGGCGATCACTCAGTGGTAGAGTACTTGGGTTAAAGAGGCAAGGCCCTGGATTCAATCCTTCCCCAAGTCCCCTCCTTTTGTGTGTGTGTGTGTATGTGTGGTACTGGGGTTTGAACCCAGGACCTTGCTCATACTAAGCACATACTCTACCACTGAGTTACATCCCCAACCCTCCTGGATTCAATCCCTAGCAAAATATGCATGCTCACACAACACAAACCATCACCACCACCATCCCACAAATACTTTCCACATAGGATCCTATCTACAAATTTTTGTTTTGTAGTGCATATAAGAGCATTTTGAACTCTTACATTCATATCTCCTTTTTTAGCTTCTAGCTAAACCATCAGAGCAGGTAACTAGGGTCACAGTGATATGCCTCATAACATTTTAAAAATGAAGCTGACCTCTTAGAGCTAAACTAAGTAACTAACAATCAGATTAAGATAATTATGTAAACCAAGCATGGCTGAACACAGTGGTACACCCATGTAATCCCAGTCACTCTGGAGCCTGAAGCAGGAGAATCATGAGTTCAAAGCCAGCCTCAACAACTTAGCAAGACCCTAAGCAACTCAGTGAGACCCTGTCTCTAAATTTTTTTTAAAAAGTGGGTGGGGAATGGGTGGGCTGGGGTTGTGCCTCAGTGGTTAAGTGCTCTGGGTTCAATCCCTGATACCAAAAAATAAATAAATAAAAGAAGGACTGGCACATACTAAACACTCAGTAAGTACAAATCCCTTTTGCTAGGTGAGAAAGCAGACATCATGTTTGCATTTTGGGGCTATGCTCAAAGTGAAAGTGGTCCCAGCTGGTGGCCAAAGAGCTGATCTATTCACAGTACAGAAAACAGTTAAATATCTTTTTAGGAAAATTGTGCTAACACTGAAAAGGGCTCTGAATTCATTTCTTTATTATACAGTGCTCAATATAGCCATTCTAGTTTCTAATTATTTTTCTATAACACAAGTAAAGGTGTGAAAAAAATCAATGTCCATGATTACAGGAGATTCTACCTCTCAAGGAAAAGGTCCTGTTAGAGTTTTAGGAGAACAGACTAGGCCACAGAAAGGGCAAGTTCAAACAAAGTACAGGAGAAGGAGAGTATTTGAGATGAATCCTCTTTTTTAGTATCATGCACCATCATGTAACACCCAATCAATCAGATCTCACTTTTACCCAAGCTAAAGGACATCAAAGGAAGCAGGAAAAAAAAAATGAACTTCAGAGTTCAGAACATACTAACATTTATTTTCCTTACAAACTAAAGTGCAAGCAGAAAATACCTGAAATGAGAACTGGAAGCAACTCTTTCACAGTGTTCATTGAGTTCACCAACATTACTCGGTGCTCCTGGTGAGTCAACTCCTGCTGTCTCTCATCAATCATCTTGGCCATCTTAGTCATTCCTGGGGCACAAGAAAGAAATTTTGCAGGATGAGTAGTAAAACAAGCATGGATCTGGCTCTCTAAGCCTAAATCTATTATGAATTACTATTAAAGTCCAAACCACTAATCACTGAACCCTAGCATTTATGCAAGTTTATTCCTTTTAATGAAAGTAATTTATTATATGAAAACTCTAAATACAATATAATTTTCATGTTTGACAAAAATATACTCACAAATATTAGAAACAGAAACAAATTAATACCTATTTGTAAAAAAAATAAATGGACAAGTGGGATAAAAATATTTTTACCAGATTACTACACACACAGGTTTCACACCATATATCTAGCCACCATGATGTGCTATGTAAGAATCCCATGTGAGCCTAGTGCTGAATACAGTGACTAAAAAAGTTCTAAGAATTTCAGTGGTGTGTTTTGTCTTCATCTTCATATATATATTTTTTTACTTTCCAATTTGTCCAAAATAAGCATATACTACTTTTTTGTTTTTTAATAGGTTTTTAGGTGTAGATGGATACTTTATTTTATTTGTTTGTTTTTATGTGGTGCTAAGGATCGAAACCAGTGCCTCACACATACTAGGCAAGCATTCTACCACTGAGCCACAACCCCAGCATATACTACTTTTATAAGTAGAAACAAATAGAAATATTATAAAAATAATCACAGTTATGATAGTGCTTGAAAGCATCTGGTGTTTTGTAATCAGTCTGCTAGAACTTTTGGTTATTATTCAAAGGTGCTATGTGATTTTCTAAAGCTTTGATTTTCAAATTGCTCCTAGGACTTCAGGGGTGCTTTACTTCTGAGCTACATCTCCAGTCCTTTTTATTTTTATTTTGAGATAGGGTCTAGTAAGGTGCTGAGACTGGCCTTGAACTTTCAGTCCTCCTGTCTCAGTCTCCCAAGTGACTGGGATTATGCCAGGCTACTCCGAGGATTTCTTAAATCGTCTCACAGACCATCCAAAAAGAAGCCGGAAGGTGGGGCTGCCTCTTTTTCATCCATAATAGTTTCCTTTTGTCTGTTATGCATAAAACTCCACTTGAGGAAATAGAAAAATTTTACAGTATAAGAAAGTTTAGAATACAGCTCTGAAGAAAAAAAAAAAAACATTTCCAGGTGATCTTCTTAAATTTCATTAAAGTGACTATACTGGCCAGCATGGTGGCTCACTCCTGTAATCCCAATGGCTCGGGAGGCTGAGGCAGGAGGATTGTGATTTCAAAGCTAGCCTCAGCAAAAGCGAGGCACTGAACAACTCAGTGAGACCCTAAATAAAATAAAATACAAAATAGGGCTGGAGAATATTGTCCCTGAGTTCGATCCCTGGAACCCCCACCCCCACCCCCCCAAAAAAATGACTATACTGGAACCTAAAATACTGTAAGTATCAGGGCATGGTGGCACATGCATATAATCAGGAGGCTAAGGCAGAAGGATCATAAATTCAAAGCCAGCTTGAGCAACTTATCGAGACTCTTGTCTCAAAATAAAAAAATTAAAAGAGTCAGGCACAGTGGCACATCCCTATAATCCAGGTGACTTTGGAGTTAAAGGCAGGAGAATCACAAATTCAAGACCAGCCTCCACAACATAACAAGATCAGTTTCAAACAACAACAACCAAAAAAAAAAAAAAAAACTTAGTGTGGTGGCATAGGTCTGTAATCCCAATGACTCAGGAGTCAGGAAGATTGCAAGTTTAAAGCTGGCCCTAAGCAACTCATTGACAACCTTTCTCAAATAAAAAATAAAGATCTGGGGATGTTGCCCAGTGGTAGAACATCTGTGGATTCAATCCCCAGTACATCAATCAATAACATTTAATAATAGGACTACAGAAATAGCTCTGTGGTATAGCATATTCCAGTCCTGGGTTCAATCCCTAGTACAGAAGGAAAAAATATAGTTTGCAAAATCCAACATTTTACATAAAACTGAAGAATTTTATAAGGTGATAAATATCAAGTTTATCATTTCTTCTTTAATGATTCTCAAGGTCATGTTACCTGTCTGTAACATCAAAAGCTGGTATCTATTTGTGTATTTTGAATATTAAATACTCAGATTTCAAAATGAGATTTAACCACACAGCTCTTCTCTCCTAGATCTGATTATATTAGGCAGCCTTGGGCTAGGGCATTAATCCACAATAGTAGGCAGGCTAATTAGCAAGTTAAGAGATCAGAAAAAGCTAAAAGCCAGCTGGCAGACAGTGAAGGAATGCTGTGTAATGTGAAATGAAGAGGTCAGAATTCAGGGTGACCCTCAGCATTACAGTAATAGAAAAGTATTTTCTACGTTCTCCAGCAACATTTGCAATGTTGGTTTAATTTATCCCACAGAGCCAGAATTTGTAGAAAGCAGATTCAGATTTCATAGACAAAGACATCTCCTCAGCAGAAGCTCCATCAACAGAACAGACACACCTGAAAGCCCAGTGCATGATCACCTATCTTCTGCAAAAAGACAAGTATCCTTTCCTCATGATCCAACATGGACAACCCACAAACACACACAAAAAAATTATTATAAAAACTCAATGTGGGGCTGGGGATGTGGCTCAAGCGGTAGCACGCTCGCCTGGCATGCATGCGGCCCGGGTTCGATCCTCAGCACCACATATCAACAAAGATGTTGTGTCCGCCGAGATCTAAAAAATAAATATTAAAAATTCTCTCTCTCTCTCTCTCTCTCTCTCTCTCTCTCTCTCTCTCTTAAAAAAAAAAAAAAAAAAAAAAAACTCAATGTGACTAACCTGGCCCAAGATTCTTTGTATAAGTGACCAAATCTTCCATAGTCTCCACGACCTCTGCCACTGTAAGATATTCCAAAATTCCTTTGCAAACTCGGATAATTTTACGAACCTGAAAACATATTTCAGAGTATTCAGTCAAGTGAGAGAATTATACATAGAAAACATGGTAATTCGAATGTGTAGCCACCAAACAATTATCAGTGTTCCATTATTATCTGTAAAACTAATTTATTTTTCTGGGAGAATCAGCATGGGCCTCAGATTGCCTACCTCAGCCTCATCGAAGGTAAGGAGTAGATCTGATGTGCCAGAGAGGATGCCCCTTGACCCATCAATTAGATAATCTCGAGCAGGCACTGAGTAAGGGTCGGACTGAAGCATCTGGGCTGCTTGGACAAGCTTGGTGCAAGCATTCTCAACCCTGGGAGAAAGAACATGGGTTAACTGGCAGAACCAAGCAGAAGACTATCATGAAGAATTTAAATATACATAAATTCACATTTTTTTTCTACATGAAAAATATCCAAGACCAACTGATAATCTGATTAGGTTTCTAGATTATTTGCAGTTAATGGGAGAACACTCGTTTATTCATTCTTTCATTCAGTGCACCAAATCTTTGTTCTTTGTTTTATCTTGGCAACAAAAAAATGTTGAGAACACATGTAGGACCTTTTACATTATGTTGTTATCTCTCTGTAACTCCTTGTTTCTTTACTCCTTCCTCTCCATTCTACACATACTGCCATCAAAAGGCACTGCATAAAGAACTGAAATCCTTCATAGTATTTTCAGATTTAACAGGATACAAATTTTTCACTCATGAGCTAAACAGACTTGTTTGACAAATCCATTGGCCCACTTACAAACAGCCTATAAAACTATGTTGTTAAAAAGATCAGTAAACCAGTTATCTATAGCAATATAGTTTAATAATCAGCCAAGGGTTTGAATGGTGGGTTAGGGTGGGGTAAATTAATTTAAAAGAAGAATCCAAAATGCAAAAAAAAAAAAGGTATTTCTCCTGGATCCTCCTGCACTACTGAAATGTACTCATTCATTCAATTAACCATCCATACAGAGAGCCTAACAGATCCTCTAATCTCATATTCAATGTACCCACAGTTATCACTGAGTAACTTATAAAGATAAGGAATAAATTGCTTAAAGTTAAAATGCTTAGCCAAAATTACACATTCTCATTTGAAAACACAATAAATGTCACATGCAAAAAAAAAAAAAAATACTACCACACAAGGTTATTTTGAGGATCAAATGAAATAACACAAAACTCTACAAGTATAAAGTAGGGTTGCCTTATTAATAAAAAGAATTAAACCAGCATAAGAATTTCAACTACATAAAAAGCACTGGGCTACAGAAATGGTATATAAAGATGTAAAAAGCATTATTCTAACTCTCAAAAAGCATACCTTCCTAAGCTAAAACACAAATATTGGTGCCATAAGATAGTAACTAACAAATATCAGTGAAGAACAAGATTTGTTTGATATGGCTTTTGGTCAGCCTCAAAGGCCTGAGTAGTTTGTTATTATTATTTTTTCTTTTAGTTATAGATGGGCAAAATACCTTTATTTTATTTTTTTATGTAGTGCTAAGGATCAAACACAGTGTCTCACACATGCAAGACAAGTGCTCTATCACTGAGCTACACCCCCAGCTCATATTATTTTTAATTTTTAAATTAAAATTTTGGTTTAATTTTAAATTGTGTAATATGTATATTCAGATATATTACACAAACATATACACATTTAAAACTAAAAGGGCATAGGGTGAAAAATCTTCCCTCCTTTATCTATCTTCTAAGCACTCAAAGTCAATTCCACTTGCAATCAATGTTGAGTTTCCTTCAATGCTGCATTTCCTCTGTATGTCTTCATATGACATTTTTGGTATATGAAAACATTTTCCCTTTTTACACAAATAGGATCACACTAAGCACACTCGGCTTTCTGTTTTTTTTTTTTACTTGGAAATGTTCTATTAAAAGTACATAAAGAGTTGCTTCATTCTTTTATACAGCTACATAATAGTTCATAATTTATTAGCCTGCCTCAATGAATCATCTTGGATACTCACCATTTTACCCTATATTATCTGTAGGATACATTCTAGAAATGGAATTGCTAAATCAAAGGTTCTGTCTCACCAATTAAGTATATAATCAAACTTTTAGATCTTCACTAGTGGTACACAAAGATTGGATCCCCGATATAGTTTGTGTGTTTGTTTCAATTAAAGGGAAAGTCACATAACATAAAACCATTCAAATAATCATCTTAATGGTACAACTCAATAGCATTTAGTACTCACAATGTTGTTCAAATACCACCTCTCTCTGGCACCAAAATGCTTTATCATCTCAATAAATACCAAGCACTCATTAAGTAATCATTCCCCATTTACCCCTTCCCCCATCCCTTGATAATCACTAATCTGCTTTCCATCTCTGTAGATTTGCTTATATATTTATAAAAGAATTCATATACCATGTAACCTTTATTGTCTATTTTCTCTTATATAGCCTAATGTTTTCAAGATTCATCCAAGTTGTAGCTTTTATCAGTACCTCATTTCTTTTTTTTTTATATTGGTACTTTTTAGTTATACAAACATTAGGATTGTTTTTTGAGAGAGAGAGAATTTTTTAACATTTATTTTTTAGTTTTCGGTGGACACAACACCTTTATTTTATTTTTATGTGGTGCTGAGGATTGAACCCAGTGCCCCGCGCATTCCAGGCGAGCGTGTTACCCCTTGAGCCACATCCCCAGCCCAATACATTAGGATTTTGACATAATTATAAAGCATAGGATACAATCTACTCTAATTCAGTCTCCAATATTTGCCTTTTCTCTTCCCTCCTTTCCCTCTATTTCTCTTCCCTGTACTCTGCTGATCTTTCTACTATATACTCTTTTCTATTTTGCATATATATGTCACAATTAGCTTTATCCATTCATGCACTGATGGACATCTGGTTTATTTCTACCTCTTGGCAATCATAAATAATGCTGTAAAACTTTCTGTATGGATATGTTTTCATTTTTCTTGGATATTACATCTATTAAGGGAATTCTAGGTAATATATTAATTCCATGTTCAACTTTTTTGAGAAATTGTAAAACTGTTTACCAACTCTGCACCATTTTACATTCTCACCAGTAACAAAGGAGTTCCTAATCCTGTACATCCTCACTGACACTTGTTATTTTCCATTTTGTTTTTATTAAAGCCAGCCAAGGGCTGGGGTTGTGGCTCAGTGGTAGAGTGCTTGCCTAACACATGTGAGGCACTGGGTTCAATCCTCACTACCACATAAAAATTAAAAAAAAAAAATGCCAGCCAAACGGTATCTCATGGTTTCTATTTGCATTTCTTTAATGACAAATGATGGTGGGCATCTTTTGATATGCTTGCCCATTTTGACATCTTTTTGAAGAAATGTCTATTCAAGTCCTTTGCCTATTTTTTCAATTTGGTTGTTTTAATATATGTTAGATATTAAACCCTCATCAGATATACAATTTGCAAATACCTTTTCCTATTTTGTTGGTTTTCTTTTTATTCAACATAGTTTTAACTTCCATTCCTCTTATTATGAATCAAGCTGAAGAGATTTTCATATTTTTAAAATTATAAAAGCTTTATGAATAGCACATGCCTGTGATACCAGATATCCAGGAGGCTGAGGTGCAACTCAGACACTGTTATCAGAGTCCTAGAACAGAGGCCCAGCTCTGGGAGTATCAATTATCAAGTACAACAACTCATCCCAAAAACCAAACAGAAAAAAGTAATGGTGAAAAGCAGGAAAGGAACTTTAATCAGTATAACTATACTAGAAAGACAACAGAGAACCGTGTTTCCAACTCTGACTTCAGCGGTACTGACATGAGCTCCCAGATTAGGGAGACAAGGGGAAGCCAGAAATATGCACAGTCAAGCAGTCTTGGTATCATTTTCTCAGGATTGGTCAGGCAGGACCTTGCTGGAATACATAAGAAAGTTGCTATGCCTCGTGGGTAGTTTTGACTTATCATAAGAAATTTATGGATTAGATCCGTTTTTTTTCTGGAATACAAGGTAACTGACTCAGAAAGCAAAGGAGACAGATTTCAAAATGCAAACAGATACCAAGTTTTTTACATTTTCAGGCCAAATGAAGAGTCAGTGGTTCTAGAAAAAGCAACCTTTAAGTCCTTGTTATAACATTAACAATCCAAAGTTAGTGTTAACTCCATAGTCTAAGGGCTCAGGCCCAAACCAACATTCACTTCAGACACTAATCACAAGTATTGGGTGCCTAAGGTACCTATACTTCTGTCTGACTTGACTACTTTTATGAACAAGCCCTGTTGTTAACATAATCCAAATATGTTTATGTCTTTTCACAATGAAGCTTCTGTCCTAGGACCCAGGTATACCAGGTATTCAAAAAGACGTGAAAATAACACCAGTAATGAAAAATAAAACAATCATTCAAAACCAACTCAGAAATTCAAAGATGAAGAATCACTAGACAAGAATATTTAAAAGTTATTACAGCTGTAGTCTATATTTAAGATTGAGGCCGGGCATGGTGGTAGACGCCTGTAATCCCAGCAGCTCAGGAGGCTGAGACAGGAGGATCTTGAGTTCAAAGCCACTCTCAGCAATGGCGAGGCACTAAGCAACTCAGTGAGACCTTGTCTCTAAATAAAATTTATTTAGAGACAAGGCTAGGGATATGGCTCAGTGGTTAGTGCCCCTGAGTTCAATCCCTGGTACAAAAAAAAAAAAAAAAGATTGAGTACCTTAGATAGATAAATTAAATGCATAAAAAGACCCAAACAGAACAAGTAGATGTAAAAATAAACTGAGATACAAAAATACAATGTGAATTAGTAGCAGATTAGATAACACACACAAAAAAAAAATTACTGAAGTTGAAGTCATAACAATAGAAACTATCCAAGATCAAATGGGGTCAAAACATAATTTTTTTTAATTAAACCATCAGTAAGCTATGAAACAACTCCAAAGAACCTCAAAAGAACCTGTACAAATGAAGCCTCAAAGGAAAGAAGGTGGCAGGGGTAAAGGGAATTACTTGAAGAAATAAAGGCTAAAATATTTCCAAATTTGAAGAAAACTATAAAGTCCTAGGTCCAAAAGGCTCAATAAATCCCAAATATAACAATATCAAGAACTAACTACACTAAGGCAAATCATAATGAAGTTCATTAAAACCCATAATAAGACAAACTCTTAAAGAAACAAAGAACAGCAGACTTCTCACTGGCAAGAGTGCAAGCCAGGAGACAATGAAGCAATATCTTTAAACTTCTAAAAAATGTGGAGAGGCAGGAAAGGGTGGAGGTATAACTCATTGGTAAAGTGCTTGCCTACCATTGT